ACTCTATTTAAAAGAATACTTATCAATTGCATCTGCAAAGATTAATCAAAATTACTTAATTTCGATATTCTTAATACTTTTAAAAAATATTGCTTCAAAATTAAAAAATAATTGAAAATGTTTTGAATAAATTAATAATTAAATTTTTATAAATATTATTTAAAAAATCTTTAAATGAGTTCTTCTAAATAATCTTAAAAATATATCCAAGCCATATTACCGTCGGAAGGCTTAGACTTTTGCTTGACGAGTACTCTCAAATTCATTTTTCCAAAATTAAAATATCTTCTAATAGTTCTTTGTTTACTATGTTTGACTGTAACTAGTTAGATGTATTAGTAACTATAACAACCATTGAGTTAACATTAGGATAATGCTTTTACCATAAATACACAAGAGTAGAATCCAAAGACCTAAAAAATGCCTAACTGTTTTCCATAATTTCAATTTTTGAATTATTTCCAGTTTCCGACATAGCTAATCCGGAGCAGACTGTCGCTCATATTCTCGTTGACTGCTAAGAACTTTTTTACAAAGACCCGATCTGCGATCTGTACGGTATGACTCTTTTAATACGATATACTATTTTAGTACATGGGCTATTTAAAATTTTTATCCACTTTGTATTTTTAGAACTACTTCTATTAAATTATAATTCTTCTGTGTATATACTCGTATTTCTATATGATAAGCATCTTTAACTCATGTTATACAGTAATTACCGTACATGTGTGATACGTATATTTCTTATATGAGCACTCTTTACCACAAATGATGTATAGTGGATCACATATGATAAAATAAACTACTAACAAAGCTTAATTGACGACAGTAAATGTGTGACACGATTCCACGTACTGTAGGATTGCAAAAATATCATCTGTTTTTAGCTACAACCAGTCTGCTAATTAACTGATATATGAACAGCTATTGCAGTTGAAGCAATTGACTGAAATTACTTAAACAAGAAAATGTTATTTTTTTGTTATGATAACAATCACAAGATCACATTGGACAAGTTCACCCCCTCATCAAGGAGAAAGTTTTTCCCTAATACATAACTTCTATTGATACCGGCGCAATTCCACGGAGTCCCAATAGCGTGTTCATCTGCGCAATATACTAAAGCGTGTGTGAAGAATACCATGGTGTTAAGCCTTCACGGCAGATATTCACGTTAAATTCTGGTTCTACATGGGCAAGTTCACTTATATATATCATATAATGCTGATATTATACCATAAAACTTTAATTTCTTCCGATGTTTAGATGCATGAAATATAATTATAAAGAGAATAGTGAATATTAGCTAGCTCTGTTATTCTACAATTAAACTCGTAAATTATTTAATGAAGAAGTCTTATTCTACTGAAAAAAGGTGGAACTAAGAAATCTTTGGAACACGTGCTGTAACTATCCCCTTTCAAAGATACAAATAGAATGTTTTACAACAATTAAGAAGATATATTTACTTTGAATATATTCGGTATATTTCCATTTTATAACAAAAGTTGTACTAACCATGCCTTGTAATAGTAATAAAGCAATTTACCAATGGGCATTCAGATTCCTTTAACAACTAATGAATTTGCCCAAAGGATGGATATACTTAACTTAATAGATTCTAAGAACCTGATAGGTAATCATACTGCCAATGAATACCACTAATAAAAAGGAAAGCTTAACTGCCATCTTGATGCTAACCACTTCAATTTGTCTAACATATAACGGTTTCCGACTCCTTATACCGTCACTGAATAAATTTGATTTTCAGCTGATGTGATTATTAGATATAATATAGCTAATGATTATTTAAATAAATTGCAGTTTTCAGTTATTAATAGAAAAATGACTATATATTACCAAAGTTATAGGAAAGAACTACTGTGATGCCCATAAAAAAACACTACAGTAAAGAAGAATAGGAAGATCTTTGTAGTCGTTAAGTGTAAAATGCAAGATTAATATTTATTTTTAATTTTTTTATAGCTTTGATAGCTGCGTTTACCTAGTAAAGAACATTCTGTGTAAAAAGTATACGGAATACATAATATAAATGGAATATATAATAATACCGCCACAATCAATTTTTTGAAAATTGATATTACAGTACTTTACTATGATGTCAATTTTGAATGCGAGATGTACCCAGGGTCTTATATCAGTTGTTTTTGTAATTCAACTTTTTAATGTCATTTAGTCATTGTTGTATAAGAGCATTTGGGAAAAAGATGTGATATCAAAATAAAATTCACCCTTGGAATTGAGTGCTATTTGTAAATCACCTTATCAATAATGTATGGAGGAGTTGGTTAAGCGCACGATGGGACCCGCTTTAAAGATGATGTATTTCGTGTGTTTCAAGTAATTTTTTTTAACATTTTGAATATTTTTTTAATAGTTGCAAAAGTGGGGAAACAAAACAACCAAAATTTTAATTTTAATTAAGTTCTAGTTGACAATATAACTAAATTCACCATTTCAAGAAAAGTCTTTCGAATCGTAATTAAAATAAAACTAACTATCGGCATTAGGCGTTATTCGTGAATTTGCCTACGAAAAATATATGGAAGACTGAATCGAAACATATCATTACCCTTTCATATGCTATGTCTAATATATTTTTATACCACAATATAAAATTATCAATCAAGAATAACATATATTTGTAACGATTACTTCTATTGTGACTGAATCAATGTTGGCTGGTCGTATAGCTTTTTTATCAAATCTGCTATATGAACTGTTTTTTATTGACTAAACCTTAAATATTATTTTTAAAAATTGGCTATATGATTAATATTTATTTATTTTTATTTTTTTTTTAATTAATCCTTATTATGTTCAAACACATACAAAACCACATACATATTATTTAGATAAAGTAAAATAAAGTAAAAACATAAAACTATTAAGGAAATAGTCAATTTCAGAAAAAAAAATATCTTATAAATGATAAATATAATTTAATATTATATGTGTCTTATATCACATATTATTTTAATTTAAGTATTTCTCAAATCGGTATTATATATTTCACCGATTTTTTAAATGATATACCCAAAATTTTTAAGACTTGCTTATCTCATTTCAGCTTTTGCTTTCTTAAACGATTTTATATATTGAGACGTCGTCAATATTTTTAGCACGTACCTATCTTATTCCCACTAGGTTTTGAATCGATATAACTGTGTATTGCGTGTGTACTGGTTTTTTAACCGATTCTTTGATTGATATCTCCAATATTTTTAATCTGATTGTCTGCTTCCATCTAAGTGCTACTAGCTTTCCAATCGATATAACCGATTATGTATGTACTACGTTTTTAACCGATTTTTAAAATGATATTCCTAATATATTTAACACTTACTTATCTTATTCTCTGTAGTTTTGGAATCGATAATACCGATTACGTGTGTACTGTTTTTTTTAACCAATTCGTTATTTGACTTTTACTATATTCTTAACACTTACTGACCTCTTTCTTACAATCTTACTATTTTTCTAACCAATTTTTAAAATGACGTCTCTAATAAATCTAACACTTATTTATCTTTATCCATTTAATTTTTACTACCTTTCGAATCGATATAACCGATTATGTTTGTATTGCTTTTTGGACCCATATTTTAAAATATATTTCCAATAGTTTTAACTTGTCTATCTGCTTTCATCTCAATTGTACTACCTCTTGAGCCTTTTGAATCGATAGTACCGACTATGTATGAACTGCTCTTTTAACCGATTTCTTTTATGATGTCTTCAATATTTAGAACACTTATTTATCTCATTCCATTGCATCCATACTACCTTCGAATCGATATAACTTTATTTTCATTGTCTTTAGAATCGATATAACCGATTATATATGTACTTCTTTCCCAGCCGCAAGTGAAGCCCAGACTACTTTACCAGTGTGCCTTGTTTTTATTAAAAAAAAGGACAATTTAATCTATTGACACGACAAACTTCCCAGCCAACCCATTTGAATTAAAAGCTTATATAACTTTGTTTATAATTTTTATTTTTATTTATAATATTTAATTGAAATACACAAACAGACGGACCTAAAATAATTGGTAATAAACATAATATACGGTATGGAAAAATCCAATACGATTTTTTATATTATTTACATCACTAATAATAATTTTTTACTTTCTGGGATATATAAGATATATATATATCTATATATATATATTTATATATACATTTTAATATGTACCTATGCGTGATACGTGTAGAGGATACAAACGTGTCAGTGTTGGAAAACAGCACATTTTCACTACTCGAGCCCAACTTCTAGGAGTCGGCCGAGTGGTTGCGCAAATCGCCTTCGCGCTTCAAGTGGTATATGTACTGCATATGTACTATGCTATGTGAATACATAATATATCTGAATTTTTAAACGTATAACTATATTTACATATAGCATATATAAGTTATAAAAGTTGTAAAAGAATGTTATTTTTTACAAATTTTTTATAGTGAAAGCAAATTGTTTAAATAGCATTTAAAGATATAGAATCGAGTCAGAGAACTAATTTCAAAACAGATATATTACATATAAACAAATGATATTTTTTTTGTATGTTTTTTTTTGTTTGTTAATAAAAGAATTATTTTTTTTTAATTTAATATTTTATATATTTACTTGTATTTTGAAATGTTCGATTTTAAATTTAATCATCATCAGCAGAGCAATGAAAAAATATACCTTATATTGAATACTTCAAATCCATGTATCTTTTTGTTTTCTTTCTTCTTTCTTCTTTTATCTTTTTTGTAAATGAAGACTATCAAATAATATAAACGTGTCTGTTATATAGCAACTACACATAATAATAATAGTAATAGTAATAATAATAATAATAAGCAATTATATAATAATTAACAAAATTCAAATGATCTTAAGTAATTCGTATTGAGCACAAACAAATAATTTATATACAAACTAGCATTAAAAATGTATGAATGGTTTTCTTTGTAAGATTTTACATTTTATGAGATTGAAATGCTGTGAAACATTAATTATTAAATAAAGTTTTATACTTTGGCTGCAAATAACAAAAAAGCTAAAGAAGCACATCTGCGTATGTATCTCGATGCGCCTCGAATGATCAAAGAAATACTTGTATCTTTCAGTTGTTATTGTTGTGTTTTATTGAAACTTAATTCATTTTGATCGCGGCTTAGATTAGAATTTTGCTTTCTTTATCATAGTTTTTATCTAACAAACTAGCACTCAACTACATTTTAGTATCACAGTAAAACGGTCGTTTACAATTTCTATATAAACCCAATTTTCTTATATATTTTTTTTGTTTTTTGAATATTTTTTTTATTAACATTTCTGCAAACATCAACGTTTTTGTCAGCTTCCCTCCACACTCCCAACTCTCAACTTTCAACTCACAACTCGCAACTTTTAACTGTCAACTTTCAATTTGGATGTTAATAAGTAGATTTTGTTTAGTCGTATATTTGGTATACATTTTTGAGAAGCGCGTCCAGGCCGAACGCGCACAGAATCACCTTTGAAGCCTAGTTCTCTCCTCAGCACACTTCACTACCAAAAGCCTTGAAAAGTCTTATTTGGCTGTTTACTGATGTACCGTCGCCGAACCGATACGCTGGCCATACATAGCGTATGGCGAATAGTAAGGGCCGAGCGCAGCTGCGGCGGCAGCTGCAGCAGGATTGAAAGCTCCGGGTGCGCCGAATGGTGAAGGTGCGCCAGCCAAAGCGCCGGGTGGTAGACCTCCTGGTTTCGCATAGGGATGGTAGCGTGCAGCAGCGGCGGCGGCGGCTGCAGACATGGGGCTCAATGGTGGTGTTGGGTAGCCGGCGCGTAGAGCAGAGGGTGGGAAGAGCGTGCCTAATAGGGACTGTGCCTGGGATTGTGCTAAGGCAGCAGCAGCGGCGGCTGGATCAGACAGGTTACCGGTGTGTGTGCGTAGATGTGAGAAAAGTTCATCGGATGTTTGGAAGCGCTTGCCGCAATATGCATCACCTACAACCCAACTGCAGATATATGGTGCAGTCCGTGCAGCTGCTGCGCTTGCTGCAGCAGCGGCTGCTGCTTGTGAATACGGATGACCTGGAGGTAAGCCAGCGGCAGCACCGCCCATAATGGCCATGCCATATTTTTGATGTTCGCATTGTGTACAGCCGGCGGGACAAGGTGCTCCCATTAACATTTGTTGTGTGTGTGCAGAGTATGGACAGCCGGGACAGTAGGGATCTTTGCAAACAGGCACAATTGCTTCACCGCCTGTGGGAGTTTTGATGCGTTGATAAGTTATATATGGATTGGGTTGCGCACCAGCTGGACCATTTGGACCGCTGGGATAACTACCGTTAGCTGCTGCGGCTGCCAGCATAGCAGCGTGATGGTGTGAAAAGCCGCCGGCGAATGGAGGACGGAATGCTGGATTTGCATGTTGCTCCATACCGGGTGGACAGCAGAGTGCGGAAAGTGGATTTAAGCCATAGGGATTAGTTGCTTTATAGGCAACCGCTGCAGCGGCTGCAGCAGCAGCCATGCTGCTCATTTCCTTTGGATGTGTTGCTGAGCCGTTAACATTATTCAAAACTTCCATGCCAGAGCGTACAATGGGACTAGCACCACGTTGTGACGAGCCAGCTGGTGAAACCGTTTTTCGACTGCTATCATGTGACATTGTGTTAATGCCATTCATGTCGGCTTTTAGTGCATTGCTCTCTGGTGTTGCGTTCGACTTGCTGCGCGATGGCGCGCGTGTAGAGAGATCAGTGCCGCCATGTGATGAACTTTTTGAATTTGGACGTTGCTGTTCGTCATTAATCGTCGATGCAGACTTGAATGTATTGTGATTCTGTTGACTTAGTACATTGGTTTCATATGGTTTAAATGCTAATTTAACTTCAGTAGTTACTGGAGGTGTTGACTTGGGTGATTTGCTTTGAACGGGTGATTTGGCTGAGCCTGTCTCAGAGCTTGCCGTAGACGATGTTGATGATGATGATGATAAAGATGATGATGATTTCTTTGACTTGTCCATCGATAACAATGGTTTTACGGCTGACGAATCTGCCCCGATTTGTGAACATGTTTGGGCGAGCAACGCTAATGGGCTCTTTTTCGCATCCATCTGTAAATAATTTTAAAAATTATATAAATATTAATTATGAAATTAAATTATTGAAAATTATATTAATATAAATATATGGATAATATATATCTATATAAGATTTAAGCAATATTACAAAAAGTATTTTGTAACTTTGTAAAATTTTTATTTTGTATTATATATCTGTTATATATTTTAATATTATATTCATTTAAGTGCGGTGCGAACAAACTTTATATTTAAGAAAGATTTTGTTTTTGATCTTATTTATTTTTATGATATCTGTAATAAATAGTATATTATCATTACCCCTTCATTCATTCCATTTCATTCATATTATTATATTTCATATTATATTTTTTATACATCATTTTATCAATTTTCTTTTTTAATTACTTTTATTTGTATATAAGCTTTTATATATATTTCTTTTTTTACATTGTTTTTTATATATATATATATTTTTTTATATATATATTTTTTTTTTATATATATATTTATATATTTTTTTATATATATATTTATATATTTTTTTACATATTATATATATTATATTATGTATGTAATATATGCAATGTAATATATTGCATATATATTTTTTTAAATATTTTTGTTTATATTTTTTTGATATCCTTAATATATATTTTTTTTAAATATTATTTTATGAGTATGTTAACATTAAATGTATATTTTTTTTTATTAATTACTAGTTTTATTATTATTTTATCTATAATATACAAATCATATGTTAAGTATTTTGAGAAGATTTTTAATATAATGAACATATATATATATAATATATATATATATATATATATATATATATATAATATATATAATATATATATATATATATATATATATATATGTGTGTGTTATATGTATATTATATATACTATGTATATTATATATATATATATATAATATATATATATATAAATTATATGTATATTATATATATATATTCATCTATATTATATACAAATTATACATTATATGCTATGTCACATATTATATACTATATACATTGCATATGTCACATATTATATACAACATATTTTATATTACGTATTGCATATTACATATTATATGTTAAATGCTATATACTATTTATTGTGTACTATATATTACTTATTATATATTATATCTTATACAATCTTATTTTTCCGCAATCTTGGAGCCGGTGTTTCCAGCTCAAGGGGTTCTAAAATGTTGTTTTAAAGTATGTTTGTAAGGTTTTTAGACGCCCTCTCGTTAAGTATTTTATAGATTGAATATTCCTAGTATATTTTTTTTTATATATTATGTTTCGTATATCTTGTAATATACATTTCATATTAGATATAAAATTTAACTATTTTTTATCACATATTTTATATTGTGTAGTATAAGTTAAATATTATATATTCGACCTCCTTATATTTTCCAAATCATGTCCTACTTAATTTCGACTATCTTTGTGTGAATATCTCCAGGTACTACTTTCTTAAGTTGTCTATTAACACCCTCTCTATTTCACTTCCTTGAAATACTCAGCTCACAGTTTGAACTTCTAGTAAATAACATATATGGTATATATAAAATTTTGCATATTATATTTTATACATAATCTACTGTATATTATATATCATTTGTTACATATGATATGTAATAACATAATATTATAATACAATAAAAATATAATAGTAAATCATATTTTTTGTTATGTATATAATAATAATATGATTTGTATTAAATACTATATGTTATATCTGATATGCTGTAAATTGTATATATAATGTAATACACTTGTATAAAATATAATATATATTAATGCATATTACACTTTATTTCTTTATATTGATATTTTGTATTATGTTACTGTGTTATATTACAATTCAACTACTTGTAAATTATCATGGTACCAAATTATAATATATGTTAATTAATGAATTTTTATAGTACCTATATTATATAGCATACAACTACAAGACTATATAATAAATGACTCCGTGTTTATTTTGTTTAATTTTATGTTTTTTATGATTGTTTTATGAATTTCTTATTATATTAAAGTATAATTGTATATTATGGCATATATAATTGTAATTATATATATATATAATAATTATGTATTGTTTCGTTATGTTGAATTAAATGATATTTTCGTGCTATTTTATTTAAATTTTTATTTCAATTATTTGTAAACTTTTTATTATTTTTATTAAATATTTCATATTTTTTAATATATTTTTTTTTAATATTTTTTCATTATTTTTTTTATATTTTTGTTTTTTTTTGTTATCAGTCTGTGAGTGTTTAATTTAATTTCATCTTTTGTTGTATTATTAAGTGTTATTATTTTTAAAAAGGTTAAGTATATACAATATTACTAAACAAAATAGTATTTTCAATTTACTTAACTTAATATTAAAAAGAAATCATATATATTATTAATATAAAAATAGGTGTTATTGTGATTTAAAGATAACTATTTTGATCGAAAGCTGCGCATAATCACTTGGATTAATAACATTACTCTATTTTATTAGAAGTGTTAAGCAATTTTTGTTCTCTTGTAGTCACTGATATATACATATAAGTCTTTAGACTTTTAAGGCATTTTGCATATATTTTATATAAAAAATGGTCTAATTGTCGAGGTAAATGCGATAGTATAAACGTACTTCAAATACCTTATAGACAATATATGTGTTTACTCTGCTTATAAGTTGTATATAGAACATAAATATGAAAATATTTATATATATATTATATATACATGTATTATCGCAATTTTCGATATCGGAATTAACTCATAGAGAAGGGTTAGATTGCGTGAAAAGTCAATTGGTCCATTTATATTGGGAAGTATTTAAGTAATAATGAGCATGGTATATATATTATATATATTGACTTCCCTACATATAAGTTTGTATCATTATAGTGATATTTATAGTCTTTACTGATAATTTTTTAGATTTTATTCCATCGCTTCTAAGTCAATTGCAAACATTTTGGGATCTATTATAAGAACTAATATATCACGATATTTAGATATTTGTTTTCGAGTGTCATTTAGTTAGTTTAGTTAGAGATAATTGCTTTTATTTTTGTTATATAAAACGTAGATAATTATAATTAATTACTTAGTCCTTATATTTGACATGAACAAACAAAGTCTGACAAAATGATTAAGTTTGCATATATGTTATTTCAAGTAGAGTAAATCAATGATATAGTGCAATCTATTTTGAAATAAAAATATTCATACAATTTTAATGACATTTTTTTATAATTTTTAAATAGTTTAATAATTAAAAAAAAATATTTGAAATCTTGTTTGACTAGATAAAAATATTTTTTTGTTTTGGTTTTGCATTATTATAGTTTTGATAATTTTTTTTATTTTATAATCAACAGTCTCTTCAATAAAATTTTTTTTGCTATAAAATATTTCCATAGCCACATAGTTTTTATAATTCGTGAGACTTAGGGTTTATAGTCTAAATAAAGAGTCACTTTTTCACTGAAAAGAAAGAGTCACTTTTTCAAGATTATAATTTTTTTTTTAGTTTAAATGTTTTTAAAAATACTATTTTTTTTATTAGTTTTAAATTATTAATATAAAAACTTTTGAAATGAATATTAATGAAGGCATTTCAAACCAACTCCAAAGTACATTTAACATTTTATTTTACTTTTCTTTTAATTTTTAATAAATTTTTACAACAATTTGAATTGTTGATATATTAACTTAAAAATTTTTTGGACATGAAATTTTGCATTTTTTTTTTGCACTGTTTATATTTTAAAAAATTATTTATTATTATTTTTGGAGTGTTTTCTGAGTTTTTTCATTTGTTTATTTAATATAAATTATATTAATTTTGTAACTACTGTTATTTATATGGTCAGTTTTTTAATTTTTTATTCATATATAATAATTGAACGCACATCGAAAATACTTTAGCAGTTTTTCTCAAATTTTTATACAAAATATTTTTTTTTTATTCTATTTATTTTTCACGAATTTTATTTTATCTTAAAATTTTTTTAATAATTGCATTAATTGAATAAAAAAGATTTTTTTTTAATTTTAAGAATACTAACCGTTGTAGGTAAAGGTGCTAGGTAATCCGGTTGTAAATATTGGTTATTGCCGATGGTAACAACACCACCGCCACCTTCTAAGACAACCATAGTTTAAACTGTAGTTTAGTTAACCGCCGACAAAATTCAAAAATATTCCACTTAATGCGTTTAAAAATAGTTTTTTTTTTAAATTTTTTAACTGTTGTTGTTGTTAAATTTTCACAAAATATCTTTAAGTGTTGTTTGTTGATAGGGTGATAATCCAGATAATTTGTAATTATAATCCACAGATTGTTAGGTAGTAATTTCTGAATCACTTAGCAAAACTTGTATTGTTTCGGTTTCACTTTTGATTATTATAACTTTTAATTTTCTTGTTTTTACTTTCGGTAAAATTCAATTCTTTTTTTAATTTGTTATCGCATGTATGCGCTTTTAATAAATATATTATATTTAATTTTACCGAAGAGAGCACTTCAATATATTTAATTATGATACACTAAGGTAACATATAATCGTTTTAGCTACTATCTTTTTGGCTTCTCCCGAACACGTCTAAACGCAAAGAAAGTTAAACTCCAACTGATTTCTTTACCAACTGCTGCCGCACAATTTGCTTCGTTGAGCACAGCGCACACATGTTTTGTTTATTAAATTTTCCTTGTGTGCGTATTACTCATTTTGCTTCTGCTCACGGTTGTACATGAGTAGGCAATGCACAGGCAACACAAACTCAAAGCTAGCCAGGCAGGCAAGCAGGCATATTGCATTAGTGTGCATTGACTCTCACGGCACCATCATGAAAAGATTTTTACTCACATCTCTTGCTGTTTTCTATTTCGCTGCCAGTACAACAGGTAAGAGTAATAAAGCTGATATGTGCGAAAAAGAGCTAGCAGTAGTGGAATTTTTAAATATGGCGTATTTTGCATCCAATCAAATCGCATGCGCCATAAAATTCACTTTGATCTTTTGCTTGCCTATTAATAACAAATTGCTGCCTACAAGTGTTGAGACAACAATTTCAGAGCAAAATAAACCAGTTCTTTGAATGCTTACTGGACTCACTTTTGTTGAGCGAAATCATGCACTTGTGTGCGTGAGACAAAAATATAATTTCAAATAATATTTAAAAAGAGTTTTCTACTCACTTTCTTAATAAAAATATAAATTTGTTGCTCATTATTGAGGGCGATATGTAGTTCATTTTGTTGTGCTCAGCTGTGGAGCCAATCACTTAGGTTGATGAAATGCATTGCAATGGCAACACTTTTGGGGTTACCTTTAAATTTAGTTATAATCACGAAAAACTATATGAAAGAGTAATTTGCGGCTATAACACAAATTTGAGCGCCATTCTCTGTTTGATCTACGGTCGTGGGTAATCACTTACACAAAGACATATGGTCTTTAAAATAATATTAGACAACAAGAAACAACAAAAAACAAAGAAAAACGGAAAGAAAAGACTATAATAAAAAATTAAAACTGCCTGTTAAAATGTCGTGTTTATCACGCCTCCCATAAAAATTTTCATTTAAACGTTTCATTTTTATATTCCTTTGAATGAAAACTGTTGCCGGCATAACAAGTTTGTTGTTTGTCTTATTGTGCCTGTCTGTCCGTTTGGAAGCTTGCTGATGTCCACATATCAAACGCTGGGCTCGTTCGCTATTTTACATATTATTTATTAATAACAGCGCTGTTAACTATGCTTGCTGTTGCAACTGAATTTTTTTACATTATTTGCTTCAAATTCTTTTAAGAAAAAAGTGCCTTTTTCTGCTAAAAAAATTTTATTTACATTTTTCATCGCAGATTCGTTACTTTTGCAGTAAAGTTTGCCGACGGTGAAGACACTTTTCACTGGATTGCACACATTCTTTAACTGCTCTATATATAAACTAATTTATCAATATATGGAACATAATAATAATAATAATAAATAAAAATAATAATAAATAAATAATAATAATTAATTGCTAAATAATGGTAACATAAATATAATAATAAAAACTGATTTTGTAAAATTTTTTGAAATTGTTTTTATATTGTATTCATAATATATGAACAATAATAATGAATTTTTAATAAGTTTTTAAAATAGTAATAAAATAAAAATTAACAAATAAAATAAAATAGAAAGATAACTGATTTCATTAAATTCTAAAATCGTTGTTATATTTCATTTCTAATATATAATATTAATACTAATAAATTTTAAGTAAATTTGTTTAAAAAATATATTTATGAAATATAATTAAAAATTTAAATTTAACAAATAAAAAAAATTTAATGAACAAATAATTTTTTTGAGATCGATTTAAATACAAAATAATAACTATAACTTATTATTCAAATTTAAACAAATTATATTTTATTAAGATATTTTTTCTAGTAATTAATTTTAAAATTAAAAATATTATATTAATAATTAATTATTTATTTTAAAAGAATATAATATTAAGTATTGTATAATATTCTTATTATTTTTTATAATAAACAAAAATATAAGTTTGTTTGATTTTCTAATCTTTATTATATTGTAAGTTTTTTTCAAAATCATTTTAAAAATTGATTAAAATGAAGAAAAATATAAGATATATTATAAAATAAATATAATAAATATATAAATAAAATTATATTATTTTGTAACATTTAAAAATCTTTTTTCAAAATTAAAAGTTTTTCAATTATTAACTATTAAATTTCGTTTAAGAATTGCTAATTAAATTGAAACTAACTCAATAAATAATTAAATAAATAATTAAGTCATCATAAACTATTATGTTATTATATATTATATCATGCAATTAATAAATATATCATAAATAAAAATAATAGAAAATATCAATAATTTTAATAATTTTTTATAAGGATTAATTGTTCAATATTAATATTTGACATAACTTTTTAAGTTAATATGAAAAATATTTTATTGATTCTCGATCTTTTGATTACAGTCCGTAGTCATCTTCCATAATCTTTAGGAATATTGATTGTTTATTGGCTTCATTGTCTATACATAATTTACTAAACAATCAAGTGTTTAGCGTGCGCCCTGCCAAATTCGGGCCATGGACTCCCGTAGAACCCGCTTTAAAGTGAATAGTGCTTAATTCTTGTAGTTCTTCAGATAATTGTAAGCAGATAATTATATATAGTTGTTTTAAAATAACACTTATGTTAAATAAATTGCAGTTACCGAAGCAGCTAGATGGTTCAAGATTAAGTAGACCATATAGCCATACATTATGTGACTAAGAATTCACTTAATTAAAAATTAATTGAAAATTTTTTTGTCTTCTTTTTAAAGTAGAGTTCTTGTTATAAGAGATAGAAATTATTAATATTATAATATTATATTATAATATCAATTTATGTAGCTATATTACTAACATAAGTTTTGATATAAGTTGAGACTAGTTCCGTAAAAATCTGTCTATCTCAGATCGCATTAGACTGATTCAATAAAGATTATTTAGTTCAGCGAGATCTATAAATGAATGATGACAGGTAAAATTTATATACTTTAATTACTTACTCTCAAAGTTTTAGAGAATTAGCTTGATATTTTACTATGACTTTAAACCGTACATAATGACACTTTATATATTATGACAGGCTGAATTAAAAAGATGCAAGGAGTGAATATTGAACATTTTCTTGAATTGGTTAAAATAAAAAACTCTCAAAATGAAAAAAAAAAATCGCATTGCATCGAATACAAATTTTCTGCTGATTTAACTGATTCCGTGACAGTCGAAACTCAAAGACGATGACCGAGCACCGCAATCGACAATTATGAACAAACCTTTGAATGAAAAAAAATTCTTGAAATAACCTACATTTGTCTGCATGACTCAACGAAGCAGAAACTAGGATACCAAAAGTACACTATATCAAATTTGAATCAAAGATTTCAAACACATTTCTGATCGAAGCACGTTCTTCCAGTCGTACGACAGTAACAACCTAGCGAATCCGATGAATTTTTATGCGATATCATTGTCGTGGTATGACTTGTATAATTCCATCGTTCCATCTAATTCGATACTCGTCGTCAACGCGTTCGGGAGCATAGATTTTCCAAAGATTTTTTTTCTTAAATGCTCCTAACACCTTTCCAACAGTGTTGGTTATTGTCCAAGCTTCTGTATTACAGACACGATAAAGGATTTGTGGATCATGATTTTTACTTGTTGAAAGAGGGCCTACCTACTTAGCCCGAGAAGGATAAATAGGTGTTTGGTGTTTATATAGGTTTCCAAAGAAACAGGGCAATTAGAATAAATAGGAGCAAAACTGAATATAATAAACAATTTGTGTATTTTTTGTGACTAATATCTTTGGATATGAGTGCAATTACTGAACTGAAAGTAGATTAATGCCATAACTGATTTGATTAGCAATTTTTCACATATTGCAGAGTGAATGACTAAAGGTTTTTTTCAGAAACATTTTTCTCTGATAACCTGTGCTGTATCCAAAAACAATTGGTACACATGAAGGTCCACCTCCATTTGCCCTTTTGATGTGTCTCAAATATTGGTCACAAACTATACATTTATTGTGTGTTATTGTGGAACACCCTGTATAATGTGTATGAACTTTACCTTTGAACCACACACATGCAAATACTGTAGTAAGTAATTGCTGGCACAACAGCTATTAAAATATTTATTTTTTTAGACTTTTTCTTCAGAAATGAAATAAAGGATGTAAAATGTAGCCTCTATGCCGCCTTTAGGTTTTTTTGTGCTATTCGCTTGAGTTTGCAGAAGAAGGTCTTCCTGCGACGACGAGTATTTGTGTCGGCTCATAAATTTTCTGCATACTCATATGACACGTTGGGTTTATATATAATTTTTAAAATTTTTTTTGTTTATAGAAAATGCAGTATTTCAACAAATGTGAAAAAATATCTCATCTATGAAACATCGACAGTGTCACAGCAGTAGGCGTAACTGTCGCACAGTTGGTTATCACTAAAAGGATGTAATTATTTTATGCATTCGTCTGCCTAAATGAGTAATTGCGGATTACACATTTCTGGTTTCTAAAGGACTTAATTGGATGTTGGGAAATGCATGGCTTAACGTTTTAGGTAAGAACTGTTTTCGTACTCCTTTGAGAAGCGGTGCTCGCTGTCGGTGCGGCAGTGAGTTTTTGGGTATGCGTCCACTGGTCTACATATGTTTGAGCTTAGCTTGAAATTAGGATGTTTTTACTTTACATTAGACCTCATAAAAAATGTGGTAAAAGGTTTTTCTGCTGTGTTCAAATAATTATGTGTTTTTGTATTGTTCCCAACTATATTATTAAACAAAAAAATTGGAATAAACAATCCGACAGTACTTTGACATGCTCTTTGTCCGTATGTCGTGAAAACTGTATTTTTCTCTACATGTTCAATGTGTCATATGAAGTACATTGTCTGCAGGTGTTGTTTTATTATGTCATTCACGCAATACCCTACACACCTTTTTGTGCTATCTTTCGCAGTGTTTAATCTTATGCAAATCTGTTAAGAAAATAAATACTTTTGCTTAACAAACACTTCTGCAAACATTTATAGCTACCTGTGTATCT